CCTCCTATGGTTGGGATGCTATGGCAGTCAGTCTGACCCATTGCTAACCATTGCAGAGGTCAGGACAAACCATTAGGTGAGAGGTTAGACCCAGAATCCCTCTTCGTCGACACGCCTCCCCCAGTTCCCCAGTTCAAAAATGGTTCCACCATATTCTTCTCTATCATCTCAACAATAACGTGACCCGCCTTCTGTATGCCCACTCTGACAACGCTCACACAACACTCAGGGCCCACATTTTGGCCCAGACCATACTGAGTCTTGTATTATAATTTAACCCTTACTGAATACATCTTTTATCTTTAACCACACAGTGAAATTCTCCTAGCTCACTCCTATTCCTCCCCAACCAGCTGCTAATTTGGAAAACATTCTTTAATTATTCCTCATCCCAAAGCAAGTCTAGGATAGGTGCTCCCTTCTGAGCTCTCAGGGCCACTGTCAGTTTTGCTTTACCCATTTATTGGTCTATCAACCTTACACATATGCATGTGCACTCACATGCAAACACAAACACACACACACAAACACACACACACACCAACACACGCACACAAACACACACACAAACACAAACACAAACACACACACATACACATGGTATGAGCTCCTCAGTGCTAGAAATTCTGTCTTAGCCAACTGTCCACCTTCATGGCCCAATACAGTCACTTATTAGCTATGTGTCCTTGGGCAAATTACTTAATACTTAACCTCTATGCCTCAGTTTCCTTCTCTGTAAATAGGGACGATGCCATTATCTACCTCATAGGACTGCTGTGAAAGCTAAATGAGATGGTGAAATTGAGAAAGTGCTGGCTCAGAGTCAGTGCTCAAATGTGACTGATGACGATTATGACGGCAATGGTGCCATACTCAGAGCATGTCAAAAGGAGGGAAGGAAGCTTCATCCCAGCAAGAGGAAAGCAGTCTCCACCTTTTCCCTCTTCTGTGAGACCTACCACAGATCTATGTACTGGAGTCATTTCTCAGACAGGATTTAAAGTAAATGAATGATTTGGGCTTCATCTTACCTGGGAACCTTGGGTTTTGTAATGACAAACAGCAGGTGGGCTCTTAAGAGTTTAACCATCATTGATCATGTCTGGGAAGAAGGGATGGATAAATGTCCTGTATTCAAAATGGAAAGTCAATCCTGTTCAACCCCAAATATTTGAACCTAAATAGTTCCTTCACAGCTCCTTGTCCTGATCAATGAGTGGCCTGCAAATATCCAAGCATTTCCTTGTTCTGTGCAGTGCACTCTGTCTATGAGAGGCCATCATGGGGCACCCCATCCACACCTCCAGGAACATCCCTGTCCCACTGTGCATGGCATAAGTCAGGACCACGGCAGGAAAGTGCTACCAGCGGCAACAAAAGCCACCTAATCTGACTCTGAAACTTCATCTCTGAGAATGTATCCTCATAACATTATTGAAAAGGAGGAGGCTCCACGTGTGTGAAGATATTCATCGCACTAGCATCTATAATTTTGAAGATCCTAATAACCATACATTAAAAGTTCAGTGTGCCCTAGCATTTACAATAGAATATTCTATCATTATGAAGAGAAGTAATTGGAAGTCTGCACTTACAGTTAGAGGAGAGACCAAAATTGTGTCTGCACTATGATTACAGTCATGTGAAAATATGTATTCTGTGGCCAAAACACAAAGTATGCCAAGTATCCAGTTATTCTCTTAGGAAGGAAGGGAATTGGGGGATTAGGAATGTGTCTTCCAACATTAAAAAAGAAAACTCCTAAATGTTTTTATAGGAAGGAGTATAGGCTAAGATCTGCTTCACAGGTGGTTCCCAGATGTTTGGGAATGCTTCCTAACACAAGGCGGTTTGCACTTGGGCAGCCCCTGTTGACTGTCACTGTTCTAAATATTCCATAAAATCCCCAGGCAAAAAGTGCTTCCCAGGAACATTATCCTGCGTGGATGGGACTCCTGTCACTGGTGGCTGCCTGTTCCTTCTTCAGAGTTTTCCCAATTTTAAGAGACTTCTGAAATCTTTCTTTTTATTTCCTCCTTGTTTTGTATACTTGAATTGTTAATTTAACTAATCAATCGGTGCTCACTGAAAATTTTTGAAGAGCTTCTCCACTTGTTTCTATAACTTGGGTGACATTCAATTCTGCACTCCAATGGGACACACTCCAAGGGTTCAATGCCACCCCCTCAAACAAGGCACCCCAAGAAGCACTGCCAGGGTCTGTCAGTTCACTCACAGTCCAGGTCAGAGCAGGGCTGGCTGGAGCCCTAATATTTTTTAGATTATGGTTCCATTTCAATAGTGTTCTAAAATGTGTCTCAACACAGTGGGATATAAACATGAGTTTTTTTTCAATTCACTGCCTTTAATCAAGCCTCATCTAATCACCCATTCCCATCTCTTAATAGCACCTTCATCAAATTTCATAACTTTCTGATCACTTTAGGTTATTAAAAGTCAGATATGTTTAAAATTTCAATCTCAAATTTAATTTAAATCCTTCTGCTCCCCTCCCCCAACCCCCAGCAAGGCTGACAGGGACCCTGACTGCTTGGAGTGAGGAACTCTGGACTCTTAGGCCTCCCAACCCTTCAAAGTTTGGCTTCTCTGGAGCTCAGGGTGGAAAGAGCATGGAACAGGAATGCAAGCTTGGTAGTTAACTCTGCTGTTGGCCTCAACTCCCACCAACAAGCCCCCATCTGGGGCTGCTCCCCTCCCCTGCTCACTCCTCTGAGATGGGAAGTCCAACTCCAGCTCTTACCTCTCCATGTACCTTGGCACACTGCAGTCTCCTGCTGCTGGGGCCCACCACCCACACAATAGCAGGTGCCAAAACAGGCAGGGCATCTCAAGCCCACCCACCTTCCACATTGTCCACTGGACCCGTGGAAAACTCGTGTCCTCTTAAAACACTAAAATGCAGACACACAGGCTGGTCTCTGGTCACCCTGTGTTCATGCTGTCCTCTCTCCCTCCTTGTCTCTCCTCCTGCTCTTCCAAGCATAGGGCCAGATCAGAAGGTTGGTGATCTAAGCAGACATTTAATTCACAAGTGAGACTATGAGCTTCTTCTTCTAGTTATAGGCACCCTCAATTCTCTTGAGCCCCTCCCTTGACTTGGGGGATTAGCGGTGAATGGAAGGGTGAGAGGTTCACCTCTTGTAATGAACCCCATGCTGCAACGACTTTAGCTCACACTTTCTCTCCCCTTCAATCCCTTCTCATATACACACTGGGAGGGGCCTGGGGGCAGAGCTGGTGGCAGCAAGGCTAGTGCTGCACTCAAGTGCTGGCAGTTCCCTCCAGTTTGCACAGGACTCACCATCTCTTTGTCCTCAGTTTCAGCCCCAGTGACCAATTCTAGATCAACAGGAAAATCCACTCAAGTTCCTATTTCAGATGTGAGTTCAGATGTGGGTCCAAATTGGCCTTCTATTTCTTTTGAGCTTAGTTCACATTTGAGAAAAGGGTAAAATCAGGTTTCACCTGGCTCTGGCTTTAGTTGAAGAGTGAAGATCAAAGACCGGCTAAACGTAAAACAGGGCTGAGCTGAGCCAGCTGGAAGGCCCAGCTGCGGAGGGTGGGTACTGCATGGGTCGGGTGGGGAGTGAGGGAAGCACCAGAAGAGCTCCCGTCCGTGGACCCACCCGGCATGTGGACACACTAAGAGATCTCCAGGGAGCCATAGAGCCTCCATCCTCAGGCACTCCCCGCTGACTCACGGCTGATGTCATTCCATTGTTCACCTCTTTGGACTTCAACATCTGTAAAATGGGAAAAAACATATCTTCCTCAACAGGATGCCAGAGAACTTCACAAGACGATACTGTATGTGAAGCACATAGGACAATGTTTAGCACATAGAGGGCACAATGAATTCCCAACCCACCATACCCCCTAGAGAGACCACATGAGCTGGAGGCACATGGTCCGTCTGCCTTCATATCTCTCAATGGTTCAGCCATGTCTCAGCAGTGCCACTACACCAGGCCCACTGCAATAGCCTCCACTCTGAATCCCTGTTTCCACCCTTGCTCCCCACCATCTATTAGAATGATCCTAATGAAAGGTAAGCCAGATCATGACACTCCTTCACACAAAACCCTGAAATGGTTCCTGTCCTCATCAGAGTGGACGCCAAAGTCCTCACAAGCACCAGCAAGGCCCACATCTTCTGTCCCCTATTGCTGTCTTGTCCTATGACTCCTCCTTCCCCTTCTCCATCACACAGGCCACTTCAGATGCAGCAGACCTGTTCCTGCCTCAGGCCCTTTGACTGAATCATCCTTCTGCCTGCAATGTTTTTTCTCCCAGTATTTACTGTGCCATCCCTTACTTCTTTCCAGTCCTGCCTCAGATGTCACCTTCCGGTGCAGCCATCCCTGACCACCCTATTTATAATTGCATCATTCCCCCACCTGCCCCATGACATGCCCCATCCTGTTCCCATTTTATCTTCTCCATACCATTTTTTTCTTCTAACATACCACATAACTTACTAATTTATTTTCTTGCCTGTCTTCCCCTTCCCACACACATACATTAGCATGTCAGTTCCATGAGGGCAAGATTTTGTATCAGTGTCACTCACTGCTGTGTTCCTAGCATCTAGGGTAGTGCCTGGCATATAGTAGGTGCTTAGTAAACATCTGTTGAATGGAGGGCTGAATGAATACCAGGACATGAGTACTCATAAGCCGGAAGTGTAAGACCCAGTTAACTGCTCAAAACACCAGATCCAGTCTCTCCGCAGCTTAGGATGATGCTGAGAATGAATCAGAGGAAGGATGAAGTCAGTTTGGAAGAGAATCTCTGGGCTGAGTAATTGTTCTCCACCCCTGCCTCATCTCAATTTAGACTCCACGCTGAAAATTCATTCTGAAAACATCCTCTTTAGTCACTCAATCACTTATTTCCTCTGAACGCCAACTTGTCTGGGGACCAAAGTCCACAGCTCTTGCAAATAGAAGCTGTGCCAAGCAGAAGCAAAAATTAAATGATTCTTTAACCATTTTGACTTCAAAGAACAAACGTGCTGCCTCAAAGTCTCCCAGCTACTCCCTGGGCTCTCTCAGGTACCTGCCCTCTCAGACACTTTTGGCCCAGAACATCGACTCACCGCTTGGATTGAAGGGACACAACGCTTTTGTATAGGTGAGTCTCTTCTCCTCATGTAAACTGCAAGCAAAGCAACAGTTAGGTGCAAGACTATGATTAACTGCCAAGTGCTTGCTCCATCTAAAGGCATTTAAACTAAAATAAATAAGTAAATTGCACCGTTCAAGTCAAACAAAACACTCTCTACACCTGCAAACTGCCAGTCTTGATTGCAAGCTTAGCCCCTACAGCAATGTGGAAATATAGCAGGCACTACGTAAATACCTCCTGACTGTTGACTGACTCTCTTGGTATAAAGTACTCACTCAGGTCATGGAAAGCAGCCTAGACCAGTATTAAAAATACCTAATTCAGGAAGAGATTCTCCCATTTCATAGACACAGTGTGTGGAATGTTTGTTTCCCACTCCTCTTTCCCCTGGTCCCTAATCCAGAGGGTCTGTGGGGTATCTGTGAACTCACTAGTCAGCAGACAGAGCATGAAGATGTGTCTGTATGTATGCAGGCAATGCTGAGCACAAGAATGCAGAGGAGATAACTGGGGGTAGGGAAGGAAGAGTCAGCTATTCTCATTCTAGTGGAACCTCTATCCTAGGTTGAGTTTTTAATTGGTGTTCAAAGCCCTTCCATCAAGTACATACAGTCCGTGCTTACCAGTCACACATGTGGGTACTGACCCACACACCCCCACATGCCTCTCTGACCAGGCTTCCTTCGTTCCTTTCCTAAATTCACTTTGGCTTAACCTACTCAGTAGCCTTTAGAAATCCTCAGGACATTTGTGGTGTTAAAACAAGTGTATTTTCATTTTATTGCACCTGTATTTCTTGTAAAGAGCAATTTCATTTTTCGTCTCCATTGTATTCAATCTGACTTTTGCACTCTGAAACTTCTTCAAACAAAGCTCTACTTATGAAACAGGAAACACAGCTGACAGCCTCCTGATCACCCAGTATTTTTTTTTTTTTTTTCAGAATGAGAAAATCCACACAGGGCTCAGCCTAAAGCAGGCCAGCCCAGTAGCAGCTTCATCCCAATGAAGGGAAGAAACAGCAGCCTCCACCAGTTGTAAGAAAAGTTTTAAAGGCTGTAGGAGGCATTACCCCCTCTCCAACTCCTCATCTCCCCACAGCACAGAGAGGAGACTCAGGAGCTGGAGAGTGAATGAGTGAACACTAGACTATTACGACAACCTCTTCAATCATCTTTTGATTCTAATCTTACTTCCATTCAAATCATTCTCCACGTTATTTCCAGAGGGATCTTCCATGTTACTCTTGTCCTTAAAGCTATTCAGTGCCCTCAGGGCCAATCCAGTCTTCTCAGCCTGGGCTTTCCTCACATAGGTGCCAAATATTTCTGTAGTTCATCTCTCACACTTACTCCCTCACCCTACCATCCACCCATCCAGCCAAATCCACCTTCTTTCATTTGGGGCATAGACCATCTTCCCTGTCACCCTTGGCCCCTCCCCCACTCCACCCCTTTTTTGGTCAGTCTTGTCCTTGGTTGAATGAAGACACAGGTAGGATAAGTGATGGGCTCAAGTAGACATGTCTGGTCTGGAAGTTCAGGAGAAATATGTCTGTCCCAGGTTGGCCTTGGGGAGTCACCATGTAGCCCCTGAGGCTTTCAGCTCATGATTGAAAAAGCTGTTCCCGCCGGTGGGCAGAGGACTCTCAGAGGGACCTCCATGGCCTAAAGGATGTCCCAAGAGAGTACACAGCAATGCTGTGCCCAAGAGGTGCAGGATCCCAGAGCTAAGCAGCTGCCCCCATTTCTTCTCCAGCTCCCACTGATTTCCATGTCAGAAATAGCCAGCATCATTCCTCAAGCAAACCTGCTCTTCCTTTCTCTAAGTAGCTACACCCCACTGGAGTCTGTGAATGGGAGGTTCTATCCACAGGACCACAGTACTTAGGGCAAAGCTTCTAACAGCCCCATTAGCAGCAGCTACTAGCTTGGACAGAACTCACAAAATCATTTCATGTGTGCTGGGTGTTCCACCTGCAGGTCACAGAATATTCAGAACACTAGAATCAAAATAAAGCCCATTGGAGAAGAACATCCCAGGGTCTGGAGAGAAACAGCTCAGATCACTGGCGAAAGAAAAGCTTCCCACACATGTGCTTTCACCATGTCCAAGGAACAGAGGCCTGAGGAAGCCCTTGGGGATCTGCAGAAGACATACTCAGATTGCCTGGGGAGTTGCTTTACATGACAGTTAGGAGATGGGAATCAGTTCAGAATAGAGAGAAAGTCTACTTCATTTTATCCGGAGTTGCAGTGCAGCAAATGGTTTATAACAAGAAATGGAAAGAAGAAAGATATTCCTTAAATAGTTCTTCTAAGTTTCAGAGCTGATACAAACAAAGCTATTGCAGGTTGAATTGCACCCCACCTCCCCAAAATTCATATGTTGAAGGCTGAACCCCCCCCCCAGTACCCCAGAATGAGATCATATTTGGAAATAGAGTCATCAAAGATATCACAGTTAAGATGAGCTCATTAGGGTGCACCCTAACTCAATATGACTGGTGCCCTTATAGAAAGGAGAAATTTAGACACAGAGCCACAGACAGAGAACTCCATGTGAGAATGAAGGCAGCCATCTGGGTGATGCTTTTACAAGTCAAGGAATGCCAAAGATTGCCAGCAAACAGCCAGGACCTAGGGAAGACACCTGGAACAGATTCTTCTTCACAGCCCTTCAAAGGGACCAATCTTGACACTAGACTCCTGGACTACAGAATTGCAAGACAATAAATTCCTGATGTATAAGCCACCCAGCTTGTGGTAATTTGTTATGACAGCCCCAGGAAACTAATACAAAATGCAAGCAACATAACCAGAAAATATTTTATTCCTCAGTGCCCATCTCGAGCACAGCGAAACCACCTTTGAAGCCTCTGTGCCAATGCCACTCCATTGGGTATTGAAGCCTTCCCAAACGTGCAGTAGAGATCACATGCATTGCCTTACCCCATACCGTCTTGGCATCTCCCTGGTAGTCTCTGGGATGGAGAGACAGAGGAATAGAGTTGTCATGAGTGCAGGCTTTGAAACCAAACAGACCTGTCTTTGAATCCCTTTCTGACCACTTAGTGCCCATCTGGCCACTGTTTCTCATCAGTGAAATGGAGCAAACAGCAATGCACGTGAGACAATGCATGGAAGGGGCATGTGGTGAGCACTCCCTAAGTGGAAGCTAGTGCGATGTTGGCTTAATCACGAAGGGTCAAAGAAGATGAAGTTAAATTAGGGGCCATCCCTTAAATCAGCTAAGCCCTTGAAGGAAAAGAAGATCCAAAACTGCAAGAAATGCGGGTTACTGCTGCAGCCCAGGGGGCTCCTCAGCAGCGTGTGCTGGCCCAGCAGAAGGTCCAGCCTGAGAGCAAGGAGAAAGTGTGAGCAGATGGTAGCCTTCAGCGGCAGAGCCTGGACGGAGGAAACACATGTGTAGGAAGAAGGAACAGGGGAGCTGGAGGTCAGAGTGGTACAGCGCATGTCTGACAAGCAGTACCACCAGGAATAGCAGCCGTCACTTGAAGGTTGATGGGCCTTTCCCCTAAATGAGAGGATACAGAATCCCCACCCTGCAGAACAGACCACAGCAGCCTGCTGCCCACCTGCCAGAGTAGAGAAAAGAAGAGAATTTAGGTCACGCCAAGTCAGGAGTGAGGCTGCCTGGAAGTCACTGATAGGAAGTACGCAAGTCTTAGCAAAATCTAGGGATGTCTAGCATCACGCTAAGAAAATCCACCTTCAGGGCAACTCTATGTAGTGCTATGCTGGTAAATGTTTAACAACTGGCTCCAGGGGACATTGCCAATTATTATGGTGTAAATATTCTCACCATGACCAATTGGAAGCTATCAAGAACATATCAATGAGTTCACCAAATTCCTGAGACTTTAATTGGTTCTTGTGAGCTTAGGAGCTGGCTGCAACCTATGCTGAATGCTAAGTGACAAGTGCTACTCAATTTGCCTTCCACACCTGCCCTCTCTACCCACGGCAGGCTAATAGCAGCATTTCCCTGTGCTCAGGGCTTGGCCTGGTTTGGTACCTGTACATGCTAACAAACAACTGCCCTCTTTCCACTCCCAGGTGACTTGGTAGCTTGGGAGTAAGGGACAGAGCCACTTCAGGTATGAAACCAGGTCCCAGTCCTCACCCCATAGGTGAGGAGCCACTTCCCCGGGCACACGCCTCAGAGAAAGCCTTGCTCAATGCGGGAGTAGGCAGGCTTTCCCGGGATGTGTTATGAGAGCTGGGCAAGAGGACTCCTGCTTCAGCCCCTCTCCTGCATCCTTCCAGCCAGTTCTGAGAATGCGACATGCTTGCCACCTCCTTTTCCCACTGGGTTTCCCCAGGAGGGGGTCAGCGTTTTCCAGCCACTCTTTATTCATGACCAAACCTAGATGTGCGTGAACCTCCACACTGATTACAGCTTGGAAGCTGGCTTCTCTCAGGGGTTAATGAAAAACCTGCAGAGCTGGGTTTCTGGACCCAATAGGTCACGCTGCATGGGACCATCCACACTTGATATTTTCCTTCTTGGGTAAAACTCATCCTCAGCTTACCTCTGCCTGCAGGCTGCTTAGATGGCAGTTCAGTGGATTTACACTGAAATGTTCTTTTCTTCTCAGGTAATTAGGTCCAGAGGAAAATGTGATCGCCTGCCAGCCTGCCCAGACAGTGGGAGAGGTAAGCCTTCAGCTCTGCCTGCCTTGGTGAACTCGTGGCTGCCTGCGGCCCGCCCACCGGTTAGCACTCATCAGCTGTGCAGGGGGCCCTGACCCGGGTTAGGGAAGCGTCTGCGCCCTGCATTAACCGAAGTGCTGAAGACTCCACCAGGCAGGGGCCCAGCACTGGGAGACTGGGATTCTAATCTGTCCCCCCACTAACTCACTAGAACCTAAGGGGAGTCAACCGAGCCCTCTGGGCTTCCATGTCTTCATCGGTACAAAGATTCCTCCTTGCCTCTCGTACAAAATTATTAGGAGGCACACATGGCATAAGGGATGTAAAGGTGCATTGGAGATGATTTACAATCAGCATTCCTTAAGATGTTGTTTACAAAGGCAAAGTAACGCTGGGAATTTGCTGGAGGCAAAAATGGAGTTTTATCTGAAATGCTTTATTGATCATCCAACCATTGCTGACCTCAGTAAATCCCCAGCCTGTTTAGAGACAGCCAAGACACTGAGATAGCAAACACTTCCCCAAGTGCATCTCCCAGCTCAGTAATACTGAGAGGACTACTACAAATACCACTGAGTGCCTGACACACCCAAATGGGAAAATGGTAGTGAATAAAAACGGGCCCTGCTGCAACATCTGAGTGATTCCTTCCTCCCCAGCACCCAGTCCCATCCTCCGCTCAACCACTAAAACAGAAAAGGCCAATCTAAAGTCTCGCAAGTGGAGGAACACGCTGAACTAAGCACATAAGAGTTCTTTAAGGGGAGACAGGGGGTGCTTTACTCTCTTACTCCAGGAGTGAACTTAACCGGGACCACAAGCCTGATGCCTTCACGCTAGAAGGAGAAGCAGCCAAGCAAAGGTCGCTGCATGGCTCCCACCGACACTGACCAGTGCAGAGCCAGACTCCCGCCCTGCTGAGGCCAGTTGTCCACCCAGTGTCCAGGCCTAGTGAGGACATTTGCACAGCGAGGACATCTCCTATGTGCACAGCCAGAAGCAACTGCCAAGCCTGTGGACAGCTGAGACCTCAGAGAACCATTATCCAACCCCACCCCGGATGTCCGCTTGGATTTTCCTTTAGCTGAATGACACGACAGCTTTGTCTTGTAGCTGGGCCCCCACTGGATCCCAGAAAGTCTCCACAAATCAGAGGGAAAATTGTTTTGAAGCAAAAAGTCTTTTCTACATAACAGTGCTCAGGCAGATGGCAATGATTTATTCTAATTAATAAAAAGAATAGGTAACCTTCCAGAGCATGTACTATGGGAAGACACTGTTCTCAGTGTTTTATTGACTTGAACTCATCTATCCATCATTACAACCCTATGGGGTGACTACTCTTACTATTCCAGTTTATAGATGAAGAAACAGGTAAGGCCGGGAGCAGTAGCTCACACCTGTAATCCCAGCACTTTGGGAGGCCAAGGCGTGTGGATCACCTGAGGTTAGGAGTTCAAGACAACTCTGGCCAACATGGCAAAACCCATCTCCACAAAAAATACAAAAAAAACAAAAAAATAGCCAGGCATGTTGGTGGGTGCCTGTAATCCCAGCTACGCTGGAGGCTGAGGCAGGAGAATTGCTTGAACCCAGGAGGCAGAGGTTGCAGTGAACCAAGATCATGCTATTGCACTTCAGCCAGGGCTACAGGGCAAGACTCAGTCACCATTCTACCTTATGAAAAGGCAATGCAAAGCATGAGTAGTTAGCAAGCCACCTCTGTGTCACAGTTTGGGAGCTGGGATTCAAACCCAGACAGCCTGTGTACCATTATGCTACCTGATCTGGGTTCAAGGGCTGCTGGGGAGGCAGTCACTGGGCTCAGGAGGAACTGGGAATCAGGCCAGGGTAGAGATTGGGAGAGGGAGGTGGCAGTTGTCTCTCACATGCCCAGCACTAAGCAGTCTTTCTCAAGAATTTCTTCCACATGAGATCCAAAATCCCACCCCATTAGCATGATGACACTCTTGGTCATAGCTCAGCATTATTTAGGAGTTCCTACAGTTGCCTATACTCCTGGGAGAGACAAAACTCCAAATCAGTGTTACTTTATAATTTCCCTGAGTGAATTTATCAAATGCTTTTCCAGAGGGAACCACCGGATGAGTTCACATTCCAGTGGGAATTGGAGAGTGTCTGGAAGACTCTGAAAGTGCTGTGGGTAGCAGGGATCAGGGGAATACAAATCAAGGAACAAGCCCAGTGTGTCTGGGATTGGCAAGCAGCCCAGTGTACATAAGCAGAGAAGGCTTCACCCCTGGGGGTGTGGTGGTTTTAAAATATGTCTACAAATTCTTCAATACTTCTGCCTTCAAAAAGTGGAGGTCAACTGCTCTTCTCTCGAGTATGAGCTGAGCTTAGTGCCTTACTCTAGTGAGTATGACGAGGCAGATGTGACAGGGTGTGACTGCAGAGACTACGTTATAAAGGTTGCTGAGGCATCTTCCTTGTTTTTGCTCACTCTCTCTTACATTACTTGCTCTCAGGAGGTTAGCTGCCACGTTGTAAGGATGCCCAAGCTGCTTATGGAGAAGCCTACATGGTGAGGACAAGAGGGCTCCCCCAGCAGTCATGTCAGGAGCCACCTTAGAAACAAATCCTCCAGGCCCAGGCAAGCTTTCAGATTACACAGTTATCCCTGGCAACATCCTGACTGCAACCACATGCCTGACCTGGAGCCAGAGCAACCCACGAAGCCACTCTTGAATTCCTGACCCACAGGAACTATAAGAATAAATCATTGTTGTTTTAAGCCACTGTGTTTTGGGGTAATGCACTTTGCCACTACAGATAATTAATATGGGAGTAGGAGGAAATCTGGTAGAAGCAGCACGTTCCCACACATGGAGGGCTTTCAACACCAATAAGCCAGCTTTGGTCTTTATGTCTTATAAGGAGTCAAGGAACATTTCAAGACATGAAATGAAGTAGGGAAAAGAAACAAGGACACATTCCTCTTGGCCATGGAGAAGAAGAAAACACATATTTCTGATGTCTCAAAACCTTTCTTTAGCCCAGTGGTTCTCAGCTAGGGTTGAATTTTGCCCCCTGAGGGACATTTATCAATGTCTGGAGACATTTCTGATTGTTATAACTGGGGCAGGACGGGGCGTACTACTGTCATCTGGTGCAAAGAGACCAGGGAGACTGCTAAGCATCCTATAGCACACAGGTCAGTCCTGCAAAAAGAGAACCATTTGGCCCAAAGTGTCAGTAGTCCCAAGACTGAGAAACCCTGGTCTAGCCTTGCCTTGAACCACTGTCTGCCTTGAAACGTCTGAGGATCTGAGCTTCTCCAGAGTTGCAGTCACCATTTTGACTCTTATATGGGAACACTTACCAATTTTGAAAACTCGGAGGAGGAAAATAAATCCATGTTCAAGCAGGAAGACCTTGCCCAGTTTCAAGGAGTCGAAGACATGGCTGTGGGCATAGACTAACCTCTCCCATGGATTTTCAGAGCCAAGAAGCCAGAATAAGGTAGATTATGCCATGGTAACACATTAATTCTGAAATCTCAGTGCCTTGAAACAAAAGGATTTATTTCTCATTAACATCACAGTCCAGTGAAATCACAGGAGTCTCTCCTCCAAGCAGTGACTCAGTTTCCAAAGGTTGCTTCCATCTGTGGTGCTTTCGTCCTTTCTCTTTGGTATCCTCCACTGGCAGATAGTGGAAAGAGAGAGAAAGGAGGACCATGCCAGGGAGATGTTATGGCCAGTCCTGGAAATGTGTACATTCTATTGGCCAGAAAAAGGTAACCGCAAGAGAGGTCCCATCTAACTGCAAGAGAGGCTGGGAAACATAGTTCAACTCTGAGCCCATGCAGACGAAAAAAGTGGGCATTGGTCAACACACACAAGATCAGCTACCTGGTATAGTCCCTTCTGGACCCCACCACCAAGGCCCCACACTCAGGACACAGGCCTGGCCTAAGCCCACTGATACAATTCCAAGAGAGCTCATTGATAAAGAAAGAAGCAGAGCCTGTCATCACGGGCACGTTGCCATGAAGGAGGGGAGACAGCAAAGGACTCCTACCCATTCTTTTTGCCTCCACAGTCAGCTATACAGGAGATTTCATTACTCTTTGGTTCAGGAAGATAATGGGAGATGGGCCTCTCAACCACAGACCCAAATCAGGTAAGCACTGATGACTGGAAGGACCTCTTTTCAGACATCCTTGACTACAATTTTGTCTCTCAGTTTTCAATTCCACATCAAGGGCTTTTGAATTTCATACGTGCTTCCAAAATGAAAAACAAATCTGAAAGTTACCTTGGAATACAGACTTCTCATATCCTCAGCCCAGAACACTGTGCAGTACTTTACCATTCAGCTCAAGCAAAGGTACAGCTGAAGCTGTGTGAAGGCCAAAAGCTTAGTCATTTGATAAAAAGCAGAGGCTCAAAAGGTGACTGTCGAAGATGAAAATGGAAGTTCATCTATCAACACTGTTTATATATGTTACTTTGAACATATATTTCATTAATGATTTTATGAGCTAATTCTGTATTCTCAATTTAAAATAGTAAATATAATATTCTTGGGATAAAAGATAAATATAATATTCTTGGGGTATCAATTCACCCTAGCCCAATTCCTCATAGACATAATTCAAAAAGTTTGGATTTCACTTCTTTTTCTCTTTCCTTCTCAGGCCTGAGAAGCTACATATCTCCGCCATGCCTACCCCAAACCTCTACTAGCTTTCAGCCATGGGGGTGTGCTCTGCAATCCTATAGCACATGCTGGAATGCTGTTTGAATACAAGCTGCTATAGGTAATAAAGTTTATCAGAATGGCTTGTCATTATTTTTGCATCATTATACAATTACTGCAGCTTTGGAAGGTAATAAATCACTGCACAGGTGACAAATTGAGAAGCTAAGAAGGACAGTTTTTCTCACAGATAAAGCAACTGCTGCCACTAACGAGATGTGGTGATTTGGTGATCAACCTTTTAAAAAGCATCCTGTGATCCTGAGAGGGTCAGTAGGAAGGCCATCCACATCCAAAAGCATGCCAGGCCATTGCCAAGACCACAGAGGAGCGTGAAACTCCAACAGCTCCGAAAATGAGTGTCCCAGTTTTACTCCTTGATTGCCAAGAGGGAGCCTTATACCAATAACCGAATTCCAGATAGTCCAAACTTCATTGGCTCAGAATAATGGCCCAGACAGCCCATTATTCACTCAACTCAACTCAGAGATGTCTCCTGTTTACGTGTGCATGCGTATGTGTGTGTGCTTGTGTTTTAAGTAGGCTGAGTGCTAAACTACATCTGTGCAATTTTCTAACACACTAAGTTTTCTGTTTTGTTTTGTTTTTTACACTTGGGTAATAAAAAAAATAGCACAGCATATTTTCTGCAGAAATGAAAAATAGATCTCCAGACTAAAATCAAGCAGGAGATGTTTTAGTCCAAAAAAACAGTACTCTAGGAGAGAATGTATGCAGGATATGAGAGGTTTAGGAAAGGATAACTGGTTCCACTCCACTGCAGCGTTGATGTCTGTGCTAGGTGAGATGCTGCAGATGCTCTCCAAATTAATCAATGGGCTCCTAGAGTACGAGGAAGGAGTCAGCAAGAACCCCTCCCAAAAAGTTCCAGTAAAGCCTTATATTTGATGACTAACCTGTACCACTATATAAGAAAGTATTTTTGCTTTTGATGAACAAGCCAACCAGCCTGCACCTGGTAGTGGGACATTCTGGGTTGGGAAACTGGGCTCCAGAGAAAATGTTCTCAGAATGTGGTCCCCAGACCAAGAGCATCAGCATCATTTGGGGACTTATTAGAAATTCAAATTCTTGGACTCCACTTCGGATCTACTAAATTAGCAAGGCTCTGTAGTTGGGAGCTAGCAATCTGTGTGTCAACGATCCCTCCAGACAATTGTGATACATGCTCAAGTTTGAGAACCAGTGCTTGAGAAAAATGGGAGATTAGTTTCAGGATCCAAAGGACCTGGGAATAGAGACACCCAGGCCATGCACCCCTCCGACGAACTAGTTCAGCCTATTATTATAAATTTTCCCTTCATGCAGGGCTGCCACATCTGATTGTGCAAGTTGAGCACTACATAAATTCTCCCTGACCAGGGATTAATTAGAAGACTAAAGTATAGGCCATGGCGGCTCCTAAGTCGTGAACTTGATGGGCTACGTATCCCCTGAAGGAGTGCTTTTATCTAATATATGCAAAGACATCATATAGGCTGGCAGCTCATGTACCTTCACCTCTTTATTCAAATAAATCTCGACCTTCAAGATGAAAAGAAGATAAACTGCAGCTGGAAATCAGAATCTTATCCTTTCAGATAGATGGATAAGCAACTTAACTATGAATGGTGACTTCATTCCTCATAGTGACTTGAATACATAAAGCCAGGTTCCCACAGCCAATCTCGACTCAAGCCAAAATGAATTACAAAACAAAACTCTGAAACTCCTGGCCCTACAAGCCATCCTACAGCCTGCACCCATCCTGCAATCAGGATTCTTGATTTTAAAGTAAAGTTTGGCCCTATTGAATCCTGCTAAGGTCCAGAACCAGGAAACCACCCTAAATGACAACAGGGCTGTGTGGGGCCCACACAGAGTTCACTCAAAGAGGTCCTTTCTCATCTGGGGAAAGGCATCAGGGTATATTTTATAGGCCTCAGTGACCTCCTACATAAAGCATCAATACTTTCACCCACGAAACTTCCCAAGGTCCTAGCATCTCTAAGGACAGGCAGAGTCTTCTCTCTAAGTTAAACACGGTGGCTAAGTGTGCTGGAAAAGGTTCTGTTTCTCCTCTAACACCAACCCTTCCAGAAAGAGTCCACCAAGAGGTGGTCCAGTCCACACCTGCTCAGCCCTATGGCTCTATTCCGTCACTGAGAAAACCCACAGGGTTGAGGGGATGTGGTAGAGAGGTATTTCAAACCCTCTACTTCATTCCCATTGTTCACCACATGCAGAAAAATGATCATTTTGTGTGTTACACTCTGGGTAATCAATTCCAATCCCCTGGAGACTTCCTGGGTCTGCTAAGCACATTTATTCTCCTGTTTCTAATCTATTCCTTTGATTTCCACAACTTGAACATACTGTCATCATTTTAAAGGAGGGGAGAGAACAGGAAATGAGAAAGCAAGGGCAGAGGGAGCAGAAGAGAGGGAGGGAGAAGGAGCTTGATCCTGCCATTCTCCAGCTTTAAAAGCCCCTTTGTCTGTAAGACAAAATGCCTGTACCCCCGCTCATTCAAGGTCTTAACAGCCTGGCTCCAAAACTTGTCTGTGCACGTCTATGCTGAGTTTCCAAGGGTGAGTGTAATGACAGTGATAATATAACAATATCATCATTATCATCAGAACTGGGCTGGTCTACACTAAATACTAGAATGTGGCTGACACTCAGCTTGAAGACTCACAATAACCACACCAAAGTAGTTACTATTATTATCGCTATTTCCCTGATAAAATTGTAGCCCAAAGAGGTTAACTAGATTGCTGAAGATCAATTAGGTAGTCAGTGAAAAATCTGAAATTTGGGCTCCAGCATTCCATACAACCCCAACCTCCTAATAACTAGTTTAAGCTTTTTCTGACATGGAACTCCTGGACCCCTCTGGGCCCTGGACTTCTTGCACACCTTACAATGGGAGACTAGAGGAAGCTACAATTCAGGACTGAATTTTTCTCCCCCAAGCCAAGACTGTCTGCCCTGGTCCTCAGCCTCAAGTCAGAAGAAGGCTTGTATATATAGCCACTGGATCTAAAGTAAGCCAGAAATACAGAAATCTTTGGGACTCCCAGAGTCCCAGCACCTAAGGCAAGATTTCACAAACTAGTTGCTCGATAAATATTTGTTGAATGAACATGCTCTCAGATTCATATTCCATGAATTGCCAAGCACTTATATGTCAGGCAATGTGCTAGATGATTTCTTGAATGTTACCTCATCTAGGCATTGCAGAAATTCAAAAAAGTATTTATATCCCTGTTTTCAGATGAGGGCGCTGGAGTTCAGAAAGGGAGGTGACTTGTATCTTGACTGTGGATTCATAATTGTGGGAAAGAAAGAGTTTGTGAAAAGCAGGAGCTACTTAGGGAAGTCCAACCCTCAGTCAACACTAATGTGACTGCTTTATACTCCCACCCGTCTGCCTCTCTTAAATGTCTTTTCCTGGTTACCTGAATTTTTACTTCACTGCTGAATTCAATTCCTCAAATAGAAATACCCCCAGGAGGTTTATTAAGTGCTCGCATAATATTGCTGCATAACAAATCCCCTCAAGACTTAACGCCTTAAAACAACCATTTTATTTTACTCACCATCTTGTGGGTCAGGAATTTGGACAGGGCTTGTGTGGGCAGTTCTCACTTGGGGTCTTTCATGCAGTAGAGGAAAGATGGTAGCCGGAGCTGCGCCATATGAAGGTTCAACCAACTGGACACCCAAGATGGCTCACTCACGTGGGGGCAGCTGGTGCTGGATGTGGGCTGGGGCTCAGCTGGGCTGCAGAATGGAACCTTCATACGTGGTCTCTCCAATATGGTGGCCTCAAGGTGGCCAAACTCTTACATGGCACCTGGCGTCCCCTAGGGTATACGTCCCAAGAGAGCCAGGCAGAAGCTACTTGGCTCTGTTGAGCTAGCCTTGGAAGTCACCCAGAGTCACTTCCACCACATTTGATTAAACAATCACATGACCAGCCAGATTCAAAAAGAGGGGACGACCCCTTTATGGAAGGAATGCCAAAGAATTTGCAGCCATTATTTTAATGCCACATGAAGCTATTGACCATTTACTCCAGGGCACATTTAAACCTGCCTGATTCCTTTATGGAAAAGATGGTCTCCAAAGATGGCCACCGTCCACTCCTTCCCCCACTGTCACACACATGCTGCTTTCCTCAGAAGGCGACATCTGTTTCCCTTCTCTTTGAATCTGGGTTAGCCTTAAGACTTACTTCGATGAATACAGCAGGTAGCAGAGTGACTCTGCAGTTATTGGTCTAAGCTTTAAAAAGACCAGCAGACTCTACTTCTGCTGGGGGAAGCCAGACACCATGTAGAAATGAATGAAACTGCTCAGACCACCATGCTATGAGGAAGCCCAGGCTGACCTCATGAAGAGGCCATGAGGAGGAGGACCAGGGAGCCCAGAGAGCAGCCAGAACCAGAGACTCAAACATACAACCCCGTTGCGCTGCCCTGGCTGGTTTTTGCCGCATGATCCTTTCTAGTCAAGACCAGACACCATAAGCACAATAATGGTCAACTGTCTCCACTCTGCCTTATCCAAATTCCTGGCCCACAAGAGCATAAGGAGATAAAATGGCACTTGTTTCAAGCTGATAAGTTTTAACATCGTTTATTGAGCATCAGTAGATAATGGAAATATTTTCTAACCACTTCCCAAGACTAGCCATGCCATAGTTTTGAAGGGGAAGAACCTGAAAGCTCTGCATTCAGAGGGCTGACTTGGGGGAGGCAGGGGCCAGAGGGGATGGAGCTGTCACTTGGATGAGGCGGGCAACATGCGGGGCAGAGCAGGGTGAGGTTGCCAGAGGGAACCTGGGAGAAAGCAAAGGACATACCTGACCTGTTTCAAAGTTTTGCCCAGAAAAATAATGGAAAGGGGATTCTTGGTCCTTCTCTAACTTCTCCTCCCTTGTCTCCACTGACCCTCCTCCCAAGACACAGGGCGATCAGATTATGTATAAAACTAAATTTTTAATTCATTTTATTTTTATATGTGAAATATTTCAAACATACAGAAAGTAATAGAAAACAATTTAACAAACACTCTTGCATTTA